GCTGAACGATTATTGAAAGAAGAATTTAAGAGAAATGATCATTCCAATGCCTTAATTCATGAAAATGAATCTCTTAATTTGGATCCAGTTCACAAGGAAGAGGATTCAAAAGTAGTAGTAGAAATGGAAAAAGCAGAAGAAACAATGAAAGAATTGCAAGATGAAGAATTATTACTTGGAAAGGAAGAAAAAATTGAACTTTTGGAAAATTTGGAATTCCAAAATCCAACGATTCAAAATCCAATCGATCCATCATTATTCGAAACAACACCAAACTCAACCCTTCCAATGACATCCAATGATCATCCAATCCAATCTCTAGAGATGGACACACGTGTGTCTCCTTCTACAAGGTTTCAAAAGTTGAAATTTCTCATTTTCAAACATTGGCCCAAATGTAAGGAATTTCTTGTCAATGTCTTGTCACCGCCTTTGGTATCCATCTTTTTGGCCATCATACTTGCATTGATTCCACCTGCAAAGGAATTTCTAATTGTAAATCCTCCAATTTTTGTGTCGTCGTTGAAACATATTTGTGAAACATTTGCACAAGCAGTGTCACCTGCAGCGTTGATTGTATTGGGAGGAAATTTGGCTCTTACCTTGTTGAAAGAAGAGGAAGAAACAGAAGGAAATGATGACCGACGTCGTTTGACATTGTCATCAACAACAACAACACATACTGAGAGAGTGACCGTGATGTCCAAATTAAGGAATTTATTGGGAAAATTGAGGGAGCTATTTCGAGTCAAGAGAATTCATCCTTTGGCCATTGCCATCTCTGTCGTTGTTAAATTGGTTGTATTTCCATTGATTGGAATTGGAATTGTAGCAGCGAGTGTGAAATTGCAAATTTTACCTTCCAATGATCCAATTCTAATTTTGGTCGTTCTGATTCAATTCTCAATGCCCATGTCCATGAGTTTGGCAGGATTGTCCAGTCTCAATAAGGATTATGGACAAGAGGAAGTGTGTGAATTGTTGTTATGGCATTATTTATTATGTCCTTTCACATTGTCATTGTTTTCGACATGGTTCTTATCATTGTCTTGTCAATTTTTGGATGACGAAAGTGCTTCGAAATTGTGTCGAACGTATTAATTGTTAACATAAAGTTTTGGTTGGTGTGAAATTTGTAAATTTTACCTTTCAATCATCATTCTTCTTTCATACATTACCAAGAATCAAAAGGTTGATCAGCAATCAACCATTTGTAATAGAAAGCAGAACGTTCATCGTCTCTACAACAATTTTCATTCAAGATATCTGTAGCATCATCTTCGAGATTCAATCGAATATTTGGTCTAACTTTTAAAATTCCTTTCACATTCGATACACCGTCCATAAATCTCAAATTGGGCCATGCATTGGGATTGCTTAAAATCTTCTCCAAAACATCATAGTTATCTCCGTAACGTGTGTGATATAATCGAAGATGTGTCACACATGGATAAATTTTAACAGCCAATGTTTCAATAACTGAGTCCATTTCTGGTTTGTCATCCGATAGATGAAGGGTTAACTTTTTAAGGCCACGATTTGGTTGTAACTGTGTCACAACATTCTTGTTGACAAATTCTTGGGTGAGTTCCATACTTAATGAAGTAAGATTTTTGGGCAAAATAGATGCCAAGTCTGTTGCCGCACGGTCAACATCTAAATGAGTGATCGTTTCAGAGAAGAGTTCTACCAGTTTTTTCTTATCGATTCCTCTCCTGCTTTCACAAAACATTAACCGTCCAAAATTTTTCAAATGAGGAGCAACAGATCGTAGAGTTGTGACGAATTTCTCAAATTCTTCAAGTGTTTCAAGATCATAGCAACCTCCAATATCGATATATTCGAGTTTGGAAAGGACTCCTCCTCCAAAATGAATGTCAAATGTCAAATCCACCAAGCCGTTGTTGTAACTAGTTCTGTTGACATCAAAATGTTTCAATTGAGAGAATTCACCAAGTTTTTTAAAAATTTCTCCTGAAATGTTGCAACATGGATGAAAATGAATATGTTCCAATTGGGCAAGTGCTTTCATCAATTCATAAAGACCTTCATCGGTGACCTCTAGTTCAATCGGTGTTGCTCCATCATAACCTTCACTAACAAATTTCTTGAGTTTTGGACACATTTTGGAAACATGTCTCAAGAATGAATCATCGACAGGATAGTGATAAATGTAGTGCAGCTCTTCCAAGTTAGGACATAGTTTCAAAATGTCGACCATAAATTTCTCCCCTGCATCATAGTCAAATACTGCATTTGAAGTCAATGATTTGAGAGATCCAAATACTGGAATATATACTTGTCCTTCTTGACCATTAAAAAATTCATCATTGTCCTCTTCAATTTTAGTAGATTTTCCTCTACGTAAACCTTTTCCTCCACGACCTCTGCCACTGGTAAAGGGTTGATGATAAGCTTGTTCAAGACCATACAGATCTAACTTTTCGAGTGCACAACATTTGGACAAGATTCTATACAAATCTGTTCTACTTAAAGATATGCCGTGAAGTGACAATTCTTTGAGACCAAAACCAATAGGAATGTCCCTAATTTCTACTTGTTTAAATGCAACTTGATCATGACTTTCGTCACTTTCTCCATCCGTAAGACTTATCTTTTCCAAATCATCTACAACTCCCAAAACAGCTGTTTTAACAATTGTTGTTGTCGACTCTTGCTTCACAACACGGGCACTCAAAATTTCATAAATATCTGTAGGATCTATCGAATCAAACACCAATCGCTTCGAAAAGTCATTGAGAGAGTCTCCATGTTCTACAATTTCATCAACAATGGTTCTCACTTGGTCAATATTTTCATACGATATGGAAAGAGATTTGGCACTTCTCAAGGCTTTCGTAAGTACCCAATCATCGCCATCATCATGAATATAATAATATTTACAGAATTTTTCCTTGACAAGACCACAAACGATTGATACCACCATTTCGAACAAAGGCTCATCATTAATAGTTCTCCGGTCAATAAATATTCCAAAATCAACTCAATTTCATCAAACGATAACTTGGCAAGAGAAGATGAACAAATCCGAGTGGTTTGTTGGGAGAGAGTAACATCTTGATGGTTTTCTACAATGGTTTCAAGTTTAATCTTTTTCTGTAAAGGATCCGATGATGATGAAGAAATTATTAATCCAGTGCTGGATTCTTGTGGTTCTTGTTGTTGTTGTTCGTTGAGAGAATGATCAGCATCTGGCAAGGAAGCCTCTATTTGCAATCGTTTCATTTTGTAATATTGAATTTTGCAAAACGTTGACAGCAATATTTGACATTTCAAAAAGAGTAATACCAACACCAGTACAACGTTTGAATAATTAAACTTTATATTACTATCCTGTAAAACAGTGCAAATAATTCAAGATGATCCATACATCAATATAGGATGTCAGTTGATTTACTTTGGGAATGATTATAGTTCAAAGATCATCCCACAACAAGAGAGATCCGGGAAATCACATCACATCACATCACATTGAATCACATCACATTTTTGGGTTGAATTTTCTTCGACGGTGTTCAGGAACACTCAAAAAAATTCAAGAACATTTATTCCCGAATAATGCCAGCCAGAGTTTCCAATAAACACTCGTCTATTCTTCTTTTCTCTCGAATTCTTGCTCTTTCTCTGAGTTTCTCATGAACCAACTGAAGAAGTTCAGGTGAACGTGCCTAATTAAAGACAAAATTTTGAAACACCAACGAAACAACAACTTCGCTCTGTGGAGTTTTCTTAATTTTGTAACGAATTGTTCATTCAACGTATCTATCTTTCATTGTTATCTTTGACAATTTCAAAATGAACGGTAATAACAACCAACGTATGAGGCTTCACGAAAATTTATCAAAAAATCTATTGAACCTTGGTGAATATTCGCTGTCATTCTCAAAAAAACGCCGATGCTGTGCTTGTAATTGCAGATCCGTTTGAATCATATCCAGGTAACACATGACTTCTTGGAAACCTGTTTGAACGGTAATAACAACCAATGTATGAGGCTTCACCTCTCAACTCCAATCAAGATATCGGAGAGAAACTGAGCCATAGCAAGACAAGCCAATAGACCCAGTTGCAGGATGGATTTGGCAATCCGGAATTGAAAAAAAATAAAATGTTTGGGACGCTACCATGTCGCTTGCAAGAACAATCGAAACAAAACAAATATAAACGGTCACCCCGATCAACCATCATCAGCACTTCTTGATCAGCATCATTCACAACCTCATCTACTTACCATCAACTTCATTGCTTCAACACCGATCACTGATCGCATCATCATTAACAGCAACAACACTCTCCAGCACAATGCCAAAAGAGCAATCAAAGAAGATCATACCTTCCCAACCTTCAAAGATATCAAGTACACCAAAAAGGCAGCGTCGTCGTTACAAATATCATCCATTGGAGGCCTTTGTTAAAGTGGATAAGATACCAATCACCATGCATCCAAGCCCCCTCAATTTAATCCATTTTACTCACAACTCCCATCGGAAACAAGCTGCTCGTATGGAACTCAAGCTTTTCAACTTTTTGTGGGACATGAATTCTCCTTGCAACGGCCCAGCACGGACTCGATTGCCAATAGGTGAGTGTAAAGAATCCGTTTTTGATATGTATATGTGTAAGACTATGGGGCCCGAGAAGTATGTTCGTGTGGAGCAATATTCTCCTTGGATCAACCGAGAAGGTGACATTGAACGGACTCGTCACATCATTTACGAATTCAATTATCCAAACTTTCCTTCTTTCGGGGATGGGACTTGGGCAAAGAATTATATGAGTGTCGACCAAAAGCATGTAATTGACAGCCTTAGAAAGAGATTCAACAGGCCCATTCGCTCAGAACTTGAAACTGTTCAATATCGTTGCATTGCATCCAAGTTGATCATTTCCTACGACACCTCATTCGAATTATATTATGCACACCTCAGTCATTGGGTACAGTCAAAGAATGGAGATTGTTGGATTGAAAGTTTTTGATTTCATTCATCATTGCTAGGACATCCTTTCCGTTTCTTGTGTGACATTGTTGCAGTTACTCTCCCAGCGAAGGCATTGGTGTCTGTATTTTTGGAAGTTTGCTTCTTCCTGTTCTCCTTGTCATTTTCTTGGATCTTTTGAATCATCATGTTCAAATTATCACGATCCGTAATTATGGTTGGGTCCACTAAAGAAGCATCATACCATTGATACAATTCCTTTTGTGGTTTGACATGACTTGCATCCCAAGAATAAAGCTTTTTTAAACGTTTTTCATGCCAATATGTTTCTCCTGTTTTTTCCTTCAAGTCAATTGCGACTAATACCTTTCTCCATTGCCACAATAGCAATTGTTTGGTTGGGTGTATTTGAGTACGATCTCCTCCATTGTTAATAATTCGATTAAACACTGCATGGTGAAATAAATGAGACCGTTCGAATCCCTGATTACTCAAAATCGAGAGTGATAATTTTTCTTTGAAAAGAGAGCTCATTATTGAGGGTACATGAATTATAAAATGGAAATAATGAGCTTTAATTCCTTGAGTCCATATTGAAAAACACGCAACTAAGAATTGCATTATCAGTTTGTCCAATTCCACAATCTTATTTGCTGTCAATACATTGTCATTATTTTCGTTATCTTGATGCATTTCAATAATAATGATAATATTTCGCAACAATTTCAGAATTTGTAAATATTTTTGTTTGGTGCTTGGTTCAATATTATCAACAACTTTCTCAATATTTTGTAAAATAGTGTTACAATGATCTCCCGACAGCATACATGACTTGGTTGATGATCGTGCTGAGGTTTGAGAAATTCCATAATTCGATACTCGTTCGTGGAACTCTTTCCAATTAAATGTTTCCAATCCATGTAATGTTTGTATATTTTTCTGAATCTCATATTTGTAAGTTGTTGATGCCATATAACCAATAACATTTTCTACTAGCCTCTGTTTGATATGAAGAGCACATAGTATTGTTTGTGATGGAGAAAAAGGTAACTGGCCGTCAAGAGAGTCGCGTGGAGTTGATGCAAAATCTACAATAGTTTGAGCCATACAATAGGGACATAAATCAAATGAGAACGTCATGCCTACATTATGCATGTCTGAAACATAAAAAAGGCAAACTTGATGCTTCCCAAAATATTGTTTTTGCAAAACACGCTCAATCTCATCGTGAAGCGTTCCAATTGTTTCTTTGATACTTTCTTTTGTTTCCTTCATCTGAAATAACCCAATATAAAACACAGAATAAACAGCCTGCGATGGAAATACATCTCTTAAATTGAGTGGAACCAATGCAACTGCAACTTGTTTAACTCCATTAATTTCTCTACCATCTACCCCAATTTTAAAAAATATTTTCTTGGGTAATTTTTTCCCTAATGACATACATAGCTTCAGAATATAAAATATGGCTTGATCTAAGTCTATAATATATCCAATGTAGTTTGAACTTGGACATCGTAATTTGAAAGTTTTCTCAACTTTTCATTTAGTGATTGTTTCGATGTTGTCATCTCTTTCCTTGTCGGAAGTAATGTCATTAAATTGACTTCTTTTCGTAAGTTATGATATGTAACATCAGAAATCAAGTTATTATCTCGCCAATATTGCACAATAGTTACATCTTTCTTTTCAATTAGATATTCTTTCAGTTTTTGATAACGATGGCTGTATCTAATATTTTACTCTAATTCTTGGATTACTGTTTTAATACCTTCATCAGTTTGAAGATAACATTCCAGCCATGCATGTACATCATGTCCTAAATTACCTAACATTTTCTCAAATATAGACACTATTTCTTTTGCTCGATCTTTCGCTCCACGGTTGTAATTGTCTTGATTTGATTGAATACCAGGGTATTTGTGAGGACATGCTTGGACTTTTTGGTGTTTACAACAAGCACATTCCCAATATTTCAATTCTACTTGTTGATCATTATCAGATTGTGCTTGAGAATGGTTGAATGAGTCACATGTATTGGATTGTAAAGCGGTATCAGTTGTATAACAATTTTTCCATTGTTCAATATTATATTGTTGAGAGCAAACTGGTTGTGTTGGGAATTGTTGAGGCTGTGATTGCTGTTGAGGCTTGAAATAGTTCCAAAGTGCAAATTGGGACAAATATGTCTCACAAGTCTGGTCTGCCAAAATGAATGGTTCGACATACTTAAGCCCAGAATATTGTATACAATTTTGAGAAGCGTTCCATTGATCGTTCCACTGTTGAGAAAGGTTAGGATTAGTGTTTGCTTTTTCCATGCTATCTACTGTTTGAGAGTAATCTTGTGAGGTTGTATTAAGTTCATGTTGCTGACTTGCATCATTAATTATATCAGAAGCTTCTACTATAATATTATTTTCATAAATATCATCATCATTTTCATTAGAGTTCTCGTCAACAAAATAGGATGCAGCATCAGCAACCAATTGATTGAAAGCTTCATCTTGGTCCTCGACTTGAGGCTGATTGAAAATTTCTTCCATTGAATTATCAAATAATTCATCGTCATCCATACGTGTATCATAGTGATCACTGTTGTGATTGGGATGCGTTTGGAACAGGTGTTGAATTAATAAATCATGATGATCTTTCTTCGACAACTTTAACAGAGTTCCAATAACGGCTGCCAAGCTTAACAAAATTGCGGACTTTTTTACCTTTGGAAACCCAATCTCTTGCTGTTGGCAATTATTGATCGTGATGTGTTTGCCATAGCTTCTTTCGATAATATTGCAGATTTTTTGATTTTTCTCCTTTTTAAAGAACGATCCAACAATTTCATCGGCAGAATAATATTGATCGCCTTCGTATTGATAGGTATGTAAAGAATGAAGTGCAGGAAGGTGTTCTTGAATCTCTAAAGTTTTACCCATCACGATGAATTTTAATAATTTTTAATATATAAATGATGATGAACTCTACACGAATTCTAGGAAGCCAATTTTTGTAATATTGTCAACAACATGGCTGTAATATAACAATTCCGAAGTGTGATTCAAAAAGGAAATTACATGACGTGTTTTCGTTTTAGTTGAAGCATAAACTACAGTTTGATCAGGTAGTTAACATTACCCATTTTTTTGTCGAGTACCCGCTACTCGCGGTTGACGTTAATTTTTAACGTTTTTTCGTCAAAAATTACAATCAAAAAGTTAACGAAAAAAATTTTATTCTCGCTTGAAAAGCGTTAATTATTGACGAAAAAACGTCAATAAAAAGCGTTAATTTTCCACATTAACGATTTCATTATTCACGCGTCAAATTAACGTCAATTATTATGATGTTTCATAATAAAAATAATTGACGAAAAATTAACGCTCCTTATTTCTCAAATTTCTCTTTCATTCTCGCTCAACCAATCGTTCACTAATTCAATCTCTTCAAACCACTCCAAATCTTCAAATCTTGTATATTTATCCATTTTCCTCACATTCATTCATCCAAATTCTCTAATTTATATCCAACAACAAAGCTAAAGTAGCCAATTTAATGAATATAAATGGTAAATGAAAGATGAATTGGATTGACATTACTTACTTTTGAATAATTTAAGCTATCGGGTTGAAATATCATCTAATTCAATACTTGTATTTCATATCATCTTTTCATTTGTTTATCATGATGTTGGTTTTGCATTCAGTTAAAATATTTTTCAGTTGCGGCATAATAATCATAGTGATCAATAGTTCAATCAAAACACACTTCAAATTCATATAAATGATATATCAATTTGTCATTTGTTTTGATATCTCTATTGCACTGACATTATTATTCACAACAAGTCATATTTTAACATCAATCAAACCAATCCCTATTCATGACAAACAAATGCCTCGATGATCTAAATACACTCCAGGCTTAAAATGTTTAAACATCAAACTCTAAAGCATTGAAAGCTCTGTTAATCAATCCATAATAATTAACAACCTACAAATAATCCTTCATAATACCAAGCAAATTCAGCTTGAAATTCCATAACTCGATAATATAACATCTTTTTCAGTTCTACCATTGACAAATGTTAAGAAAGCGGTTGTTTGGTTATTGTTGCAACTACAATCCTTTAACTCTCAATGCATAGTGGGACAAGAGGGTACGAATAATCAAACAACCAACTGTGGATCAAATATATTTGAAGTCTTATCATCCCTATCCTCAATTGATTATCATTAAATTCAATCCCTACCTCAAGATATCCCTTCATTATCTGGATGTTAGAACTTGCTTCAATATCCTCAACCAATCTCTACCAACGCATTCTATGTACAGAGTGTAATGATGGATATTCAAAACAACAACTAATAAAGAAGAAGCAACTAAAACATTTTGAATAAACAAAAATCTGCTCAGCAAATCTAACAACCTACCGATCATGTTACTCTAGAAGGAAATAAATAAACAACGAATAATGTTGTTGATATTAGTACATGGTTGGATATACTTACCGGTTTAACAGGTGAACAAGTTTAATCATCCTCCACAACAATAACAATGGCCGTAAATGAAACGAATTACCTTTTCAAACAGCACGAACAGAATTACTTTCAAATCAAGCAATAACTACAAACCCTATCTGTTTGTTCAACAATATCTTCTCCTATCATCAACATAACATTCATTCGTCTTGCCAAAATGTTTGATGATGCTAAAGGTCCTTTGTAGCATCTATCGTTGATCAGATTCAAGAAATTCACAACAACTTTGTGAAAAAGAGCTTACCGTAGAAAACTTTATCAATAAAAGCCAGCTTTGTCCTTTATAAGAGACAAAAGGCAAATGATAGCAAAGACAGTCCTCCATTTCGAGCAAACATGAAACGTGTCGATATCTTTGGATGATTTGGAGATCATACCTGTATCAATGAAACACGTACACTTACGCAAAGCAAGCTCTAGCAGCATATAAGATGAACAAGCGGCATCTGTTGATGAATGAATGTGATTGTTGAACGTGGAGGCTACTACAAGCTTTTGAGAATTTTTTTAAAACAAATTTTTTATGTAATTCAAGATTTTACAACGACTGCTTGCTCTTGCTTTTGGATTCATGCTCTTTCTTTGATGCGTTGTGTTTTAAAGTTCGACTTAAATTCATCAATATTCGTTCCGCTTTCCACTTATCCAATGGCACCTCAGTACATTCTAAAATGCAATCAATTACAATATCTTTCTGATCATCTTTCAAAAGAACATAATCCTTATCAAACAAATAATTGCTAACAATGCCAAGCCGAGCCGTCTTGTTGCTGTTGATAATTCTGGACACCAAATTTGGGGGTATTTGTTTCACATTAGCACCATATGTGACAGAAATTGTTTTGCTTGGAAGAATATTCGGGTATTGTAATTGAAGAGCAATTAATGCGTTCAATGGCTTATTCAATTTGATGATTAATTCTTTTAGCTGTTTGTTTTCCAATGATAAGGCCTCGTTTTTCTCTCTGAGGTCTTTGACTTGCTGAAGGAAAAAGATATCACTAGCGAAATTCTTATAATCAGTAGGTTCCGTAGACTTGGGCTCATTTTGCAAAGGAGAATCACTCTCTTCAACATTTGAATTTGAGTTTGTTCTTGAATCCGAAATTTCCGGTGGAGTTATAGAGAGAACTTCATTGTCATCAATTTTGTCATCATCGACTTCAGTGTCATAATTCATGGAAAATAAGGAGACTGGAGTACATCCTCGCTGAACCGTAGAAAAAGCATTTTGAATCATAGGAGCATGATTGGTTCGATCTTCAATTAATGAAAGGCATGAAATATCAAAAATCGTCTTCTTTTGATCTTGAACGAAGGATGGAACGTGAAATATAATGTCATTTAAACTGCAATTAGTTGAAGTGAGTGATTGAACTCTTCCTTTACCAATCTTGTAGTAACAATTCTCTCCCTTTTCAATAATTTCAACTAAATCTCCAACTTTGAGATTTGAACTCACAGGTGGGCATGTGGATTCAATTAAACCTTTTTGTTTCAAAAGGCTTACACTGATAGCCTTGACTGCAGCACATATTCGTTCCGAAAAATCTTTGTCCGAGCTATAAGTTTGCAAAATTGACTGTCGCAAGCGTTCTGGATTACCAGCTTGAATACCAACAAAAACCTTTTCTCCTTGTTTGAGAAATTGATTCATCAGAATGTATGTTGCAGAGACAGAGTCTTTGTTTGTAATGTCAATATCCTTGTTGTGAATGTTTTGCAAAAAGTCTAAATATTTCTCAAGTTGAGGAATACTATTACATAAAGCATTTTCAGAGTGTTTCGCAATTAACTTAGCTTGTTTTTCATTTGGCTTTTTGGCCTCGAATAAAATTATTTGCTCTAAATCGGAGGAAGTGTCTTGTGTTGAAAGTGTACTATCGTTTGCTTTGGTTTTCTTTGTTGCATTCTTGCCAGGGTGTGATTTTGTTCTTTTCATTTTTTTGAGTAATGTTGAATCTTGTTTTACAACCGTTAAATGTCCAATTTGCAAGTGGATCGAAAATTTGGGAACGATAGATATTTCTTGACGAATTTACGTAATTGGAGACACTTAATGGAATCTATATCGTTAAACAATCAACGTTCTTGTTTTGTGTTGTTGTAAATAATGAAGCAATTTGGTTTGAAGCGCCATGATTTGTTCTGAACGTAGTGAAGGGCAGGAATGTTTCGATTGTAAACAATAAAAGAGTTTGGGTTGAGTATTCGAAATAATTTTCATGCTCAAAAAATTTTCTGCATACTAGTACTTCGTCTCCCTTTGCTTTGCTTACTGACTTCCCACCCATCGCACTCCCACCCTTATCATGCTTTCTTAAGCTTTTCAAGTTCCTTTTTCGCTGATCCTTAATGTTCTTGTGGTAAGGAAGGACATTATGACAGTGCGGGACTGCCTTGTTCGAATCTTTTCGACAAGTAATTGAACATTTACTTTTTAACCTTATTTTAATATTTATTTATTTTACATTATTGTGACATTATCACCACCTTTGATACTTGGTTTATTTATGATGATGTGAGTTGATCACAATCCATCTCTTCTTCATCACTTCCTTCTTACTTCCTTGCGTTTCTCTGGTTTTCTCCTTTTTTTCCGCTGAGCGGTTTTTGGAGTTTTTTACCTTCTACACCCCTTTTCAAATGCTCGGGACTCTGCTCAATAAAGTCTAATGACAAAATATGCAGAAAATCCCTCAAACACCAATCCTTTTCCAAAGGATGGATGTTTGATGAGTTACAAACCCATTAGTTTTCCTCCAATTAATTCCAAACTCTTGTTGTTGTTTACAATGTAGAAACAAACTGTAGAAGGGTCTAGTTCAATTGTCAATTCAAAATACAATCACGAGCCAAATTATGAGCCTGTAAATAAGTTTCGTAAGACTGTTGCTCATTGCATTGATGATGATTCTTTGTTAGATATTGGTGGAATAGATATAAATTACTCTTCTCAGAACCATACAGTAGAAAATCAACAATGTAATTGTAGTGCAGAGGGTCTGGAAAATCTCTGTTCAGGTTCTCATGATTCATCTCCGACGAATGAAAATAATCCATCCAATGCACAATCAGAACAAGACGACCTGTTACAGTTTTTCAGAGAATATTGGAGTGATGGAGATGATGGCATACTAGATGAAGAAGTTCTCTCTTCCCATTCATTTTCAAGCGTTGTGAATGATAATGTCAATGTAAATGTTGATACGTTGATGAAAAAAATTCTCAAGTTTGCAGTAACAAGTTCTCTCTCTGAAAATTGTCTCAAAATGGTTTTAAATCTAATTCGAGAAGCCATTCAACTCATTCATGAGAGTGATAAACAAGAACTTTCAGATAAGCTGACATTAACAGGGTTCTATAAGTATTTCCTTTTGTCTTCAAAGACAAAGAAA